TAGTTTTTGGTCATCTGAACGCGGGCGGAGCCGCGGGCAATGCTGGTCTTTAATAAGACGTAAGGTGTTGAATATATTCTAAGTGTAGGCGTCTTATCACGTGACGTGATGTCGCATTTGTAGTAATTATTTTCTCATTGTCTCATTATCCAGTTTCTTTCGAGCCAACATTTTCTCTAAATATTGTCTTGCAGCGCCGCGTTTAACCTCAGTTGTACTACAAACTAGTTATCTTTCTGTTTTAAAACATTATTTGGCTTCATGTTTAATTCTCTGATCTATGACACTGTCTATATTATTCCTTTGTCTGAGCTCTATTCATAAACGTAACCGATATGCTAAATTCTAAAATTTATTGTAATCACTAATCAGCCTTTCCCAGCTTCGCCATCAGCCAGATAGGTAATATTATAATTTTTGGGTTCTTATAGGTATAGCTTCTACGTCAATACGTGCCTTTTTTCGTTTCGAAATATTTATCGAGAAAATGAAATAAAAAATGCACTTTTTCAAAAATTCCATTTCTTTCCGAACTGTTTTATCGATATTAAAACTTGTAGGCTTTAGGTATTTTCACGTTCTATTGCCTAAACCATTAATATATTGCAAAGACATCTCGAAACCGTATCCTACTTCTAAATTGTTACTCGAGTATAATTACAGAAGTAGGTCAGGTAGGCCGAGTAAAATTCGATGTAACAGCACAGAGTTTTTATTGTTTTATACAGATACATATCACTCAAACAATTTTACGGAAAGGAATGATCAATGAGTAATGACGAATTTCATTAACCTTTCAAAGCACGCGGAGACACAGGTGGCTCGGTTGACAAATAACAATTAATTTCTTAGAAATCAACCGCGAGGTCTTTCTTAAAACAAAACATTGAACAACGCTTTTCCCGCCCTTTTTCCACTCAAAATGACAACTTTAGAAAACTTAAATAAGTATTTTATATCAGAATGACAACTTATAGAATCATATAAAAATTTTTACAACTACACATATAAAATCTAAGTATTTTTATATATTTAATAATTTATGTATAATTTATATTATTATTAAAGTGTAACACTAGTGTAGACGCAACTTAATATTATTTCAATACGATATGAGTTATATGGTTCATTTACATTAGAATTCTAAATTTTCTTTTACTGTATTATGAATCTTTTTAGGATTCCGTAGTTAAGTTCGTTATCCATTCAATATTACGCCGTATTTGATGCATAAATACCACGGAAGTTGATTTAAAAACGTACAATAAATACGTAGGTATATCTTAAATAATATAATCAAAATTATTTTTATAAAGCATTCTATTGTATACGAACGAGGAAACGAAATAAAAGTCTAAAAATACTATTACTTAATTATATTAACTTACATTAAAAACATGCCATAAACCACTTTTCGCTATCTAATCAATGAAAAAGATATTTGAGTAAGCCGTAAGATCCTTTACTTATTGTCTATTATATGACATCTATTATATGTCTATTATATGACAGAATAATAGTTCTATGTTAATCAAACAAACTTCTAAATATTTAATTTAATTAAAAACGATAAATAATAAATATTAAAATAAATAAATGAGGAATCTTATATAGGTAAATAAATTATGTAATAAACTTACACTTTTAGTCACTAACAATAAACACTGTATAATATTTAATATTTAGGTATCTACTATCTAGTACTATCTTTTGCCTCTTTATTAAAAAAAAATATATACAATACCTACTAGGTGATTTGATGTCACGTTACATTTAAAATATGTTTTTTTTATGGAATTGCATGTAATAAAAATATTTTTTTATAATAAAAAAACACTTGGGAAACTATACTTTTAGATTATATTTTACATATGTATTTATTATTTTATCTAACAAAAAATTAAACAAGTCCATGACCTCAATCAATCACACAACATAAAATGTTATTTTTGAAGGAAGCTAGTTAGAATAGCGCTATTAGGATAAATATATCTTAATAACTAAAAATTTAATAAAATAAAAAGATAGATAATTATAGAAGGTAGATAATAAAAGTTGTTTTGTATATATTAATGCTAATGCATTGATATAAAAAATGTATAATGTGTAATTTAAAATGAAGAAAACTACAGTAAATATTTTAACATATATAGTTAATTAAAAAATATATATTTTTAAATTAAATGGCGACTTTAAATTATTTCAATATACATTTTAAATAATTTACATACATAAGTAAGTACGTACAATGACGAGCATAAATTAGCTATAGAAAATACTAGTATACATATTAATGATTTAAAATATCGACACTTGTACCTAAATAGTGTAATGAAAGAAGCTACTAATTTCAGTGAAGTAGGTGAAAAGGAAAAGGCAGTGGTAGCCCAGTGGTAACGCGCTCGCTTGAGAAACCGAGTGAAGCGGGTTCAAATCCCGGGTCTCGCACCTCTGATATTTTCATGTGCGAATCATTTCTAACATGATTACCACTTGCCTTACGGTGAAGGAAAACATCGTGAGGAAACCTGCAAGTTTTCGAAAGACATGTGAAGTCCACCAACCCGCACTTGGCCAGCGTGGTGGACTACGGCCTGATCCCCCTCGTATTGAAGGGAGGCCCGTGCCCAGTAGTGGGACGATAAAAAGGGCGAATACACAGGTGAAAAGGCTAATTACTATTAAATAGTATTTACACTTTTTACCTACTTCATACCAAATTTTGGCCCTTTTTGATTTGAAGTAGGTACTCTGAATCTAATATCAATTTTCGGCGAGAGTACAAAAATGATATCAAAAAATAATTTATAAAGCATCAAACTTTACTTGACTTCTAAAAATGATGAGGTTCTTAAATCGTCGGAATTTTTGTTTTTTTTAATGTATATTCACCAATTACTCGAAGACGCCCGAACCGATTTGAATTTTTTTTTGTTTCGAAGGGTATACTTCCCAGGTTGTCCCATTTAAACTTTATCGAAATCGATCCCGCTCAACTGGGTTTTGTAAAATATCAACATTAAAATTATTTTTTTAAATGATTTGCTTAGTCGAATATGTTATTTAAAAAACTTTTTTATTACGTCTACACTAAAAATGGAAAAATAAAAACTTAAAAAAAACCGACTTCCAGGCACTAAAATGTAAAAAATAACTAAACGGAGGTTTTTATTTAGAATAGATACCTAATCAGATATTTTCTTTCGGCGTCGGTGGTGTTTTTGTTTTTAAGTTTTTATTTTTGTAAAGATATCATTCTTTATTTGTTTTTAATCTAAAACTTAACGAAGTTGGAACCTAAAAAGACCCAAAATAATGTAAGTATTTATTCTCTCAATTATTATTTACGATGAAGACTTGACAAGAAAATTATATATAGATCTGAAACGAAATTAATATTAGTATCTAGGAACTGTTATGGAAATGTCTATTAAAATATTTAGACAATAATTTACCGAAAATTTAAATCTGAAAACAAGGCTCATCGAATATGATTGTATAATAGAAGAAAATATATGTATGTATATATAAAATTTCCATGTCACAATGTTAGTTACCGTAGTCCTCCGAAACGGCTTTACCGATTTTTACCAAGTTTTATATGCGTATTCAGTAGGTCTGAGAATCGGCTACTATCTATTTTCCATACCCCTAAGTGATAAGGGTGGCCCACATTAGGGACGAACCCGAGCGTAGCGATTGTGAGTCGCTAGTGTATGTATAAATTATAAATATGTAAGTGGGTATTTCTCCGAGATTGCGTTCTTCGTCTGATTTATCTGGCCAAAAATTATTTTCATTTTTGGCTCTATTCAACATACTCTTATGATTAAAGACATATCAAATAATATATTTGGCATGTCTTTAATCTTAATCGCAATCTCGGAGAAATAACCAAATTCAAAATTCAAAAGTACGTAGAGCAGTGGCGAGCTCCAGTGAAAGGACCAGTATGGAACAAGACACGACACCCCAGCCACGTCAACATCCTGGTGCCACAAAGGCTAAAAAGCCGTAAAAGCTTTATGAAGTGTGTCTTACCACTTGGAGATGAACGACCACAGGCAAGAAGCAGGATGTGGCGGGACAGTTATGATCCTTTGCCAATCCCATTCGTTCCACCGTCTGAAAATCTTGCGCCTGGACATAGTTTGCCTTGGCAGACTTGGAAGTCTCTTAACAGACTCCGGACTCTGGTTGGCTGAAGCAAGGAAAACTTATCCAGGTGGGGATTTTCAGCGGGCGGCCTGGAGTGTAGATGTGGTACTATTCCACAAACGATGAGGCACTTACTATCATGCCCTGTTTGCCCTGTTACCTGCAACTTACAGGAGCCTATGGACGCCACTGACAGTAACGATCGTGGCTGAGTTTTGGGCTGACTCCATTTAAAACTTGCCATCGACACGAGAAAAGGAAGAAGTGAGTGAGTTAGTTATTTTTTCACGATATAACGTCTTAACAAAATCAAGTAAAATTTTAAATTAAGTTAAGAATACTTGATGATCAGACATTTCTCGACGAATTTACCGCGCGAGCGTTGCCGTCTGCACTTGCAAATATAGTAGAGTGGAGTGATTCAAGCAAAAAAAAATATTTTCTCCTGTAACTTTAATTGATGGAGGGGAAAACTTTACCTATACCAAAAACCAAAGTCTACCACTTTATCTTCAAGTGGCGCACGGAACAAGTAGGTAACCTACTCGATATTTACAAAAAACCTAAATTTTTACTTTTAAGTTCTAGGTATTCGTAAAATGTTTTTTATAACTTTTATTTATTTATAAACATTTTACTTTTATGTTACACAATATATATGTAGAATATTTCAGAATACACTTTAAAACATCAGCTTTTTCATTAAATTTGGATCTGATCTGAACTTTATCAATTGGATTACATTATTAAAGATATAATATCATATCTCGTTAGTATCTATCTATTTATCTAAAATATTGTTGACATTAAACAGATTCTATTATATGGCATATTTATTATTATATTTCTGGGTCCGGTGCGTTAATTGCATATCCACATTTTTGTAAAGCAATCTTTATTTCACCGAACACGCTTGCATCTTCTATAGTTGCTGGCAGTTTTACTTGTTGTGATCGAGCTAATTTCGAAATAGCCCCTCTTAGTGCTTTACCAGATCGTGTTCTTGGTAAAGCTGGTACTGCAACTGCTTTTCTGAATGCTGCGATGGGACCAATTAAATGTCGCACCAGGGCTATGAGTTCTTGTGTTACAGTACTCTCGAGTACAATTTCTTCATCTAAAACAAGTTCAAAATTTAAAAAAAAATCGGACAAGTTCGAGTTTCATTCGCACACAGAGGGTTTCGTAGCATGAAACATTAAAATAACTACAAATATTTACGGTTTTCGGATTTTTCGTCCTGCACGAAGATGCCAAAAAAAGGTTTTAACAGTCAGACAAAAGTGATCCTATAAGAGTTCCTTTTTTCCATATGAGGAACGGAACCCTAAAACAACTTTATTATTTTATTTGACCAAGATTATAGTATTTTATAGAATAAGCTCTTTTTTGAAAACTAACGGAATTTTCGTGAGTAGCTTCATTTTGACGCTCGATTTTTTTGTTTGGTAGCTAATAAAGGATACAGGTGAAGTCGAATTATGGGTTGAGTCTAAAACGTAGGGTTGGACTCATAAAATGTACCAATCAAATTGTAGGACAATATAGATAAGTATAATCTACTCACTGGAACTCATCTTGATAGACAGTAATCATTTTAAAAAAATGGCTTACGGATTTCTGACCAGATAATTTGATTAGTCAACTAAGTATATTGAATATGAAAGTTACTCTGTCTGTTACCCTGTTTTCACGCTTTAACCAATAAATAGATTGGGATAAAATTTGGCAAGGATATAGATTTCATCCTGGGGATGCCCCAATTACCACGCAGCAAAGCAACGGACAAAAACTATTATACTTAGATAAGTTCTTTTACTCACCATCCTGGGGTGGTCTCATGACATATAAACACAATGGCACATCTCCTTTTGTTTGATCTGGTGCTCCTACGACTACAGCGTCAGCGACTCTAGCATGTTTCAATACAACATCCTCTATAGCAGATGTTGATAGCCTGTGACCAGCTACGTTGATAACGTCATCGGCTCTGGCAACAACCCATACTGAACCTTCTGCACTTATCCAGCCAACATCTTGCGTATCGTAGAATCCCTATAATAATTAATGTTTGTATACAAAAATATAATTTCTTGACAGAAAAATACGATAACTTCTGACAGAAAGGCAATGTTGGTAAATAAAGTGAAATATTTTCTAGTAATTCTTAGGTGTTGTTATTAAAAACATGATCATTAATCCCTCCGCGACCGCGGACACGCCGGCGTGTCAGTTAACAATAGATTTCTTAGAATTCTAATTAATTTCTTAGAAGTTTACCTGGAGGTGTTAAAATCAGTTTACCATATACGAAGATTTTGCGTAACGTATTACCAGTATAATCGTTTTTTTTGTTTAATCGCGCTAATCTCAGGAACTAGTGATCCTATTTGAAAAAAATTTCGTGCATGAGATATCCCCCTTGTAGAAGAGGACTGTAGGCTTTATATCATATAATATATAGTCTGTCTATTCAACTAACCGTTAAAACATACCTAGGGAAGAACTCGAGCGGAGCGGGGGTGAGTCGCTAGTAGTTGATATATACACACTAGAAATACACACAATTTAAAACCTTTTTTTTTAAATCTGTGAAAACTTACATACACTACCATGAATCAATTCAGTTTCCTTAAAGTCTGTCAAAAAATTCTCCTCAAAGAAAGAGCGCACAATTTGAGTTTGTGAACAGATATTTGATAGAAAAATTGCATTTATGGGTTATATATCAACTGTAAACATAATCAATCAAGTTACACTGTATGTGCTGAAGTAAACTTTCTTAAACCGCTCATCAGACTGCCACAGAGTAGAAGCGAAACCTGGTGGTAGAGGTTGTTTTACAACAAGGCGTCCTACTTCACCTGAGGGACATTCTGAGCCATCTTCTCTCAGTGCTCGCACTAGAAAACAAATGAAGGTCCAATAAATAAAATAAAGTAACTAAATAAAAAAAATCAATACTTTCTTAGATTTACGCGAATATTTGATATTTTAAATAAAACTATCGCTGATTTTTTCGGGGATTTATTTTGGCTTTTGGTTCTCTACGCTTGGAATGTTTTACAGCAACCATGGACA